TGATCATGAGCATCCACCACAGCCAGCGGCCTTCTCGTTGGTTTTCGAGATAAGAAGAAAAATTCAGGCGAAATGCTACCAGCGACAGAGTTTTGAGAAGATGAATGAAGATTCTCATAGGTGCTTGCAAAATAGCAACTTCTAAGCAACATTCATTTATTAAAGAGTACAACAAAACGGTAAATCTTAATGAGAATGGATACGTTGATAAACGAAATTTTGATCCGCAAAAATCCAACTTGGTTGAAGTGCCATCCATTCAGAATGCACACAGTCGTGGTATCCAGCTCGAAGTTCTTCATCCTGAAAATTCACTCAAGTCATTGTTACGGTCCATATCTCGTAGTCTGGTTAGGCGTGCGTAGGATTTGACGTGGCCGTCGCCCTCGAGCTTGCTTTGCGCTGATATCCAGCAGAGTATGTTAGAAACAGGTTATCCACACGACTTTGCGGCGACGGCCAGGCCGACGCCTGATCAGATTTCAAGATATGAACTGTAATTTTGTCCACGCTCTTTCAAATCTTCCCCAATTCGAACGTGAACTCCTTATAGATATCTCCGAATTATGCTATGTAATAAATATAATTCTGTACACAGACATGTGTTCTTCCTTGTTCTTTTCAACACCGGCAGAGAACCTACCCCCCTCTTTACGGTTGTTCTGAGATATCGTACAACATATGGTAAAGAGAAAACGGCGGACCGGAGGAAGGATTCTGATTACGAGCGGACGAGGGAGCATGGGGACTGGAGAGACGCAGACACGTGAAATCGAACACCAGGCAAGGGTGGGGCGGAACTTGTGAGTGATATCGGTCCTGTCACACATCATGGAGCCGTGAGCGACATAACCTATTCGCCTGCGAACTACTCCTACTCACAAGCGAAGAGGATTGCAGCATTCAGGTAAGTGTGTTATGCCTTCAATTACTGCCCACTGTGCAACAGACGGAGTGGCGGCAACGACAACAAGGGTTTGCCAACGTTGAGCATTTCTCGGTAGGAGCTATATTTCGGTTCCTTGGTGGAGGTGAACGTGTTTTGTGGAACTGGCAGTTTTCAGGAGGAGGGAGTAAAATGAAGAACGGTTTTTTAGAAAAACATACCGAGTTTTTGAGAAATTTTGCACGAAATGGAACGGGAATGGAATTTCTTACTCAGCTGGTGGCTTGACCTCTTCGGCGACTTCCTTCTTCTTCTTGTCAACCTTCTCTTTTGGTTTCTCTTCTTCAGCTGGTGGCTTAACCTCTTCGGCGACTTCCTTCTTCTTCTTGTCGACCTTCTCTTTTGGTTTCCTTCCTCAGCTGGAGGCTTAACGCCTCATTCGCGAAACTTCTTTTCTCCATTCTTGTCAACCTTTCCTCTTTTGGTTTCTCGTAATTCAGCTGGTGCTGAACCTCATTCGCGACTTCCTTCCTTCTCTGCGGCCAACAACGCCGCACACCGGATCGCGGCCTGAGCTCGAGCTCGGAGATCTTGGCGATGGAGGGGACCTTCCTCTTTTGGTTTCTCTTCTTCAGCTGGTGGCTTAACCTCTTCGGCGACTTCTTTCTTCTTCTTGTCGACCTTCTCTTTTGGTTTCTCTTCTTCAGCTGGAGGCTTAACCTCTTCGGCGACTTCCTTTCTTCTTCTTGTCGACCTTCTCTTTTGGTTTCTCTTCCTCAGCTGGAGGCTTGACCTCTTCGGCGACTTCTTTCTTCTTCTTGTCGACCTTCTCTCTTTTGGTTTCTCCTTCCTCAGCTGGAGGCTTAACCTCTTCGGCGACTTCCTTCTTCTTCTTGTCGACCTTCTCTTTTGGTTTCTCTTCTTCAGCTGGAGGCTTGACCTCTTCGGCGACTTCTTTCTTCTTCTTGTCGACCTTCTCTTTTGGTTTCTCTCTTCAGCTGGAGGCTTGACCTCTTCGGCGACTTCTTTCTTCTTCTTGTCGACCTTCTCTTTTGGCTTCTCCTCCTCAGCTGGAGGCTTAACCTCTTCGGCGACTTCCTTCTTCTTCTTGTCGACCTTCTCTTTTGGTTTCTCCTCCTCAGCTGGTGGCTTAACCTCTTCGGCGACTTCCTTCTTCTTCTTGTCGAACCTTCTTGGGCTTTTGGTTTCTGCTCTGCGCTCAGCTGTGGCGTATACGGCTCGGTGCGAGGCGGAGTGGTCCTGCGTTGTTGGCTGTCCATTATTACCTTCTCTTTTGGTTTCTCTTCTTCAGCTGGAGGCTTGACCTCTTCGGCGACTTCTTTCTTCTTCTTGTCGACCTTCTCTTTTGGTTTCTCTTCCTTCAGCTGGAGGCTTGACCTCTTCGGCGACTTCCTTTCTTCTTCTTGTCGACCTTCTCTTTTGGTTTCTCCTCCTCAGCTGGAGGCTTAACCTCTTCGGCGACTTCTTTCTTCTTCTTGTCGACCTTCTCTTTTGGTTTCTCTTCCTCAGCTGGAGGCTTGACCTCTTCGGCGACTTCTTTCTTCTTCTTGTCGACCTTCTCTTTTGGTTTCTCCTCCTCAGCTGGAGGCTTAACCTCTTCGGCGGACTTCTTTCTTCTTCTTGTCGACCTTCTCTTTTGGTTTCTCTTCCTCAGCTGGAGGCTTAACCTCTTCGGCGACTTCTTTCTTCTTCTTGTCGACCTTCTCTTTTGGTTTCTCTTCTTCAGCTGGAGGCTTGACCTCTTCGGCGACTTCCTTCTTCTTCTTGTCGACCTTCTCTTTTGGTTTCTCTTCTCAGCTGGAGGCTTGACCTCTTCGGCGACTTCCTTCTTCTTCTTGTCGACCTTCTCTTTTGGTTTCTCTTCCTCAGCTGGAGGCTTGACCTCTTCGGCGACTTCCTTCTTCTTCTTGTCGAACCTTCTCTTTTGGTTTCTCTTCCTCAGCTGGAGGCTTGACCTCTTCGGCGACTTCCTTCTTCTTCTTGTCGACCTTCTCTTTTGGTTTCTCTTCCTCAGCTGGAGGCTTAACCTCTTCGGCGACTTCCTTTCTTCTTCTTGTCGACCTTCTCTTTTGGTTTCTCTTCCTCAGCTGGAGGCTTGACCTCTTCGGCGACTTCTTTCTTCTTCTTGTCGACCTTCTCTTTTGGTTTCTCTTCCTCAGCTGGAGGCTTGACCTCTTCGGCGACTTCTTTCTTCTTCTTGTCGACCTTCTCTTTTGGTTTCTCCTTCCTCAGCTGGAGGCTTGACCTCTTCGGCGACTTCTTTCTTCTTCTTGTCGACCTTCTCTTTTGGTTTCTCCTCTCAGCTGGAGGCTTGACCTCTTCGGCGACTTCCTTCTTCTTCTTGTCGACCTTCTCTTTTGGTTTCTCTTCCTCAGCTGGAGGCTTGACCTCTTCGGCGACTTCTTTCTTCTTCTTGTCGACCTTCTCTTTTGGTTTCTCTTCCTCAGCTGGAGGCTTGACCTCTTCGGCGACTTCCTTCTTCTTCTTGTCGACCTTCTCTTTTGGTTTCTCCTCCTCAGCTGGAGGCTTGACCTCTTCGGCGACTTCTTTCTTCTTCTTGTCGACCTTCTCTTTTGGTTTCTCCTTCCTCAGCTGGAGGCTTGACCTCTTCGGCGACTTCCTTCTTCTTCTTGTCGACCTTCTCTTTTGGTTTCTCTTCCTCAGCTGGAGGCTTGACCTCTTCGGCGACTTCTTTCTTCTTCTTGTCGACCTTCTCTTTTGGTTTCTCTTCCTTCAGCTGGAGGCTTGACCTCTTCGGCGACTTCTTTCTTCTTCTTGTCGACCTTCTCTTTTGGTTTCTCTTCCTCAGCTGGAGGCTTGACCTCTTCGGCGACTTCTTTCTTCTTCTTGTCGACCTTCTCTTTTGGTTTCTCTTCTTCAGCTGGAGGCTTGACCTCTTCGGCGACTTCTTTCTTCTTCTTGTCAACCTTCTCTTTTGGTTTCTCCTCTTCAGCTGGAGGCTTGACCTCTTCGGCGACTTCTTTTTTCTTCTTGTCGACCTTCTCCTTGGGCTTCTCCTCCTCAACTGGAGGCTTAACCTCTTCGGCGACTTCTTTTTTCTTCTTGTCGACCTTCTCCTTGGGCTTCTCCTCCTCAACTGGAGGCTTGACCTCTTCGGCGACTTCTTTCTTCTTCTTGTCGACCTTCTCCTTGGGCTTCTCCTCCTCAACTGGAGGCTTAACCTCTTCGGCGACTT